TTGTTTCCTTACCTTCTTTGCTTAAATTTGTTAGGGGGAAAGGTGTTCGGTTAGTTTTTTCTCCCGAATTTGTACAAGCTGTATTTGTTTATAACCTAATGGTTCATGCCATCTTGGGAAGCTTGGTAGTGTAAGGCAATAGGGTGAAGGAGAGGCACATGGAACTATCTTTAAAAGAATATGCAGAATGGTTATATTTATAGTTTGCAGTCTTACCACTCAAATATACGATGATTAACTCACTTTAACGTTAATTAAGAAACTTAGTTTATGCCATTTAATTCTATTTATTATATTTAACAATAAACCTTTCTCCCAAATTTTCCTTCCTTGGACTTGATATCAACAGTAAAAAAACGTTATCGATAATAGAATCTCCTTAATCTTTTGAGTTCACAATCCTATTTTTTTGTTACTTATAATTGAGTGCGGAGAGAGTAGTCCCTAAAGTAGAATATTGGGTTATACATGTTGCCTAACGGTGGTTTGTGGCGCTAAAGTGTGTTTCGAGCAGAAATTTCAGGCAATAGGATGGATTCCGCCTTCGTGTACCATAGTATAGCGATAGTGGTCCTCTAGATTGTCAACTGAAAATATTTGCTTTGGTAGATCTGACCCAAGAAGTGGTTATGCATATTTAAATATTTGATTTCCTTTTTATTCTAGACTTAACTTTCAAAAATTCTCTAGGATATAAAGTGTGTGGCTAAAGTATCCCCAGAACACTTTCTACACATTTACTCCAACTTTATTTCAGTTGATTTTCTGCTGCCATCATGCAGATAAGCTTCCAACTAGTATCGATTTTTCTGTAACTGGTGGTGCGTATGATTTCACAAAAGCGACAATATCACTAACAAATGAGTTAATCTCTTCACCAAAGAAAGTGACTCTTTTAAGGCATGGTCTTAGCACTTGGAATGCAGAAAGTAGGATTCAGGTTCGTATTCTACTTTTAATTTATTAGCTTTTGGGGTTTGGAGGAATGTTGGACTTGGTTGTAAATGCATGGATAAATTTTCTCTCTATGTTCTCATTCTGAAATGCCTTGTTGATCATTTGAACTGTACTGAGAGCTACTTGTTTTTCAGGAGGAAAGGTTTTGTTTGTTGTTTAGATGTTTCACATTCAATATCATTTACTGCATCTGCCATCCACTGTCATTTAATTGATCATATATGTGCAGGGAAGCTCAGACTTGTCTGTATTAACTGAAGTTGGAGAAGAGCAAGCAGAAAGGTGCAAGAAAGCCTTGGAAAATATATACTTTGATCAGTGTTATGCAAGTCCAATATCTCGTGCTAAGGTTAGGGGTAGTATAGTTTTAGTAATGCTTCTTATACTGCCCATCATTTTATATAAAAATGGTTTGGGTTGTTTGATGTAGCAAACTGCTGAAATTATATGGCAAGGCAGGGAAAAGCCATTGGTTTATCTTGATTCACTTAGAGAGATACCACTATATCACCTTGAAGGCATGAAAAATGGTGAGACTGCCGCTGCTCAACTTGAAAATTGTAATAAAGTATCTTTTAATATGTTTGTGGCTTTAGTTACGTACAAATAGGGAATGGATTTAGCAAAGCAACTAGAAGTATAAATATTAGTATATCCATCCTTGTTCTGAATTAGAGTCCTGCATAAACTTGGTCCACTCTAAATCAAGAGTGGATGCACCTTTACTTATTCATTTTACACATTTTTTTAAATTTAGCAGAGTCAAATCAATATTTTACATTGCTTCAATTGATTATTATAATTATTATTTACTGTTAAATTTAGTTCTTTTTTATAAAAAAATTAACTCCACCTGTCAAAGTTAATGCTACCGAGTGTTGATAATGTTTGCATTTTACATCACGTTTCTTTCTGTATCATTCCCACCATTCTTTATAATTAAACTAAATCAGTATGTTCCTCATTTGGAGGCAGTGGATGCTAAGCGAATATATCCCAAAGAGTATACAACTTGGAGAGAAGATCCAGCCAATTTTATCATGAATGGTAGATATCCTGCTCGAGATCTCTGGATAACTGCAAGAGATTGTTGGAAGGAAATGTTGTTATCACCTGTAAGATTTCTTTGTAGTTGGTACTTAGTTTCGCTAGTAATGATTTGAGAGTGAAGTAGAAGATTTATCTTTTATTCTTCAGGGAGAAAGCTTTCTGGTTGTAACTCACAAATCTATACTGAGGGCATTACTTTGCACTGCTTTAGGCCTGGGCCCAGAGAGGTAATGTTGGCTATGCAATTAAGTATTTAAACTGATCTTGGACCCACTTAGTATAAAATTGATTTTAATTTAGTTTAAATGACATGCACGGTTACTAGTTATTAAGCAATAAAATATCTTTAGTATGACTTTTAAAATAATTATTATAAAAATCAACATAATTACGGTTTGTGATTTGATGACAATATAAAAATCTTTACACTATAAAAGTCAGCCATATATAGCTTGCTTGAAATGTCAAGTGTTGATTATGAAATTAAAATATATAAACTGATCTTGGTTCTACTTAGTGAAAAATGTACTTCTGATTTTGATTTTACTGGCTATTCGTCTAGTTAAGCTTTCAGCTTTGATTTTTACTTCCATACCTCTTTTAGGCTTGATGAGCTCATATAGTATTGGCAATTTTATTATAGTATTACTGTTGACTATAATACATGTTGCAAGTCAAAAGATAAATTTATCAGGTTCAGTTTCCACTCCTGCATCATATGTGTGGGTTTTAACAGCCCTCTTTCCATTTTGTTATATTTGAAGACCTCTTGCATGTGCAGCATGAAGGCAACATTCTGATTCTCTGCCATATCTAGCAGTTAACATCGTTCATAATGTTCAGGTTTCGTTCAATCGATATCAACAATGGTGGGATATGTGTCTTCAACTTCAATGTCAGAGGAGAAGCAATGCTTAAGGGTTTAAATATGACGGCTCACATGTACAGTGATCATGTCTATCCTGGTTAGTGCAAACTTACACGAGCAAGACAACAGTTGTCATTTTTATCGGTAATTGAAATATACCATGGAACAACACCAGTGATGATTGATGTGGAATTTTTCGTTTTAATCATCCGAACTTCCGAATCTTTGGCAAGGGTGTGGGTCCAACATGAAGCAGGTTGCTTTTATATAGCAGGGGGGATTTGAATTTTCTCATAACCCTCTCCCTTCAAAATAAACATATAGGAATGGAGAGATTGAAGTATAATTTGAGCAGATTAATTACGTGATTTACAAAGTTCGGTGTATGTACGGAGTTTATTCAATCTCCTCATTTTTCAATAAACTTTATTTGATGTCAGGCGTGCAAATCTAGCAAAGTCATCAATTTTTATGTTACGTATTTTAATGCTCTGTAATATGTTTTACGCGAAGATCTATGTTTTATGGCTGTATTAAAATGGGAAGCAAAATGAGGCTTCGAACTGCAAGCAATGATTGTATTGCAGTGCGATTAATAATGAAGATTTATTGATGCGGGTGATGTTTCTAATGAGAATTTCTACTATTTATTTAAAGTTGTGTATTTTAACTTCATGTGGAGGAGGTACGATAATAAACCAGGGTGGTGTGATGTCCAGGTAAGGTAAGATGAGCGCACACAGTAGTTTAAGTTTGAATTAATGTGTATGTGGGGAATGTTATATGTTGCGTACGCAGCTGTAATGTTTGTTTGGCATGGAATTCAATCAATGGTATTCAATGAATGCAACTTTTGTGTTAAATTAGAGCATGTGGGGCAACTCAAGATACTGTTTGTTGTTATCTTATTTGCGTTATGCGCATTACAAGAATGAGACAAGATCAACTTTGGCCTACGAATGAACACTATAATTATATGGTTTGTATCTCAGAACAGTGTCCGGATAGAAGGATGCGTAAGAACTTGGGTTATTGAAAAAGTAAATATAGTAGTAAGTTTAGTAACTTAAGATAGTAACTAATTATATAACTAATTGATTTTATATTTTTTCAAGTCTTGCTAATAGTATGATTTGCCATGCAAAGCGATTATTGTAATTCAGGCACAGATACTTGAAACACAGGAGGAGATGTAAATAGTTAAACTTTTTTGGCTTATTAAGTGAGTGGTGGTAGGCCCTCAACTAAAGAAAGAAGCAAAATTAATAAGAATGAAAACAAGATTCTTAATTAGAAAATGGCGAATGATGTTGTCTTCCCCAAAGAAAATTTACTTAAAAGGTGTGGGATGGCTTTTGCGTGTGATTAAGACCAAAGTTGTAATAGATGGTTGTCATAAAGGGTATTAACACTTTCACAATTCATGTAGACAAAACAGCGGCTAAAACTACAATCTGATGTAGTCCACGTGCTGCACGTGCCATGTGTGGCAACGCAGATAGTACCACAGTTTTACCCATCTTCTGAATATAATAAGTGCCAAGCAAAGATTCTCACAGGTCGTGTCGTTTCCTATTCCAGATGAATTCAAAATGAACACATCAAATTCCCCACGTCGCACACATCACAGCCGTCGTTATTCATCATCACGAAAAGGAACCTGACACAGTGCGGGACCCACCAAACCCAGGCGCGTCGATTCACGGTAATTAACTGCTTATTACCATATGGTAATTGCTCCCAATCGAACCGTTTTCCCAGCCCCTTCAACATTGGTACTGTGGGTCCCACATTTAAATCCGTATTCAAAACCACTATCATAGGAGCGTGCGCTACACGCTGCTCCGAATCGCGTAGAGCCAAAAGTACACACAGGGAGATTAAAGCTTCAGTTCTTTTTCGTCTCGTTTGAATCTTCTCCTCATCCTCTTCCTCGCTCCAACTCCTCAGAGTGAACTGAAACTGAAACCACTTCGTCCATTTCAAAACTCAAGGAGAAATTGAGGAGATAATGAATAACAAAGCAAACAAGCGCGATTGCCTCGAGGAACAAAATGCCTCGAAAAACGGTTTAGTTAGTAACTAACCATTTAACCTCAACTCCGTTGTTTCCGTTTCTGTAGCCATGAGTTTAAGACAGCGTCCCGTCGCCGCGCGCGGTGGTGCCGGTAACCGTCCGCAGCCGTTTAACTCCGTCTACAATATTATCCCGGTGCACGACCTCATGACGGACCACCCTTCGCTCCGGTATCCGGAAGTGCGCGCGGCTGCGGCGGCGCTCCGCGCCGTCGGCGACCTCCCGAAGCATCAGTTCATGCGATGGGAGCCGGATATGGACCTTCTGGACTGGCTCCGGTTGCTGTTCGGGTTCCAAATCGACAACGCACGGAACCAGAGGGAGCACCTGGTTCTCCACCTCGCGAACTCGCAGATGCGCCTCGAGCCGGCTCCGGCAATCGTCGACGCGCTCGACGCCGGCGTGCTGCGGCGGTTCCGGCGGAAGCTCCTCCACAACTACAGCGCGTGGTGCTCGTTCCTCGGCCTAAAGTCGAACGTGCTGCTCTCGCGCCGCCGCGACCCGACCGATCTCCGCCGCGAGTTGGTGTACGTTGCGCTATACCTTCTGGTTTGGGGAGAGGCCGGTAACCTTCGTTTCACTCCAGAGTGCATATGTTATATTTACCATTTCATGGCGAAGGAGCTTAACCATGTTATTGATGAACACATTGATCCTGATACTGGTCGTCCTTTTATGCCTACCGTTTCTGGTGAACTAGGGTTTTTGATGTCTGTGATTTTGCCAATTTATAATACTATTAAGGTTGAGGTTGATAGTAGCAGAAATGGAAAGGCTCCGCACTCTGCTTGGAGAAATTATGATGACGTTAATGAGTATTTTTGGAGTAGGAGGTGTTTGAAGAGGCTGGGGTGGCCTTTGAATTTGGGGTGTAATTTCTTCGGGACTACTCCGAAGGAAAAGCGCGTAGGGAAGACTGGTTTTGTGGAGCAGAGGTCGTTTTGGAATGTTTACAAGAGTTTTGATAGGCTGTGGGTGATGCTGATTTTGTTTTTCCAGGCTGCGGTTATTGTTTCTTGGGAGGGTACCACTTATCCGTGGCAGGCCTTGGAGAGAAGGGATGTGCAGGTAAAGATGTTGACTGTGTTTATCACTTGGAGTGCACTGAGGTTGCTTCAATCTGTGCTTGATGCTGGGACTCAGTATAGCTTGGTTACTCGAGAGACCACTTGGCTTGGAGTGAGGATGGCCCTGAAGAGCATGGTTGCCATAACGTGGACTGTTTTGTTTTCTGTCTTTTATGGAATGATTTGGATTGAGAAGGGTTCTAGTTCAATATGGTCTGATGCAGCCAATCAGAGGATTATTACATTTCTTAAAGTTGTCCTTTTCTTTCTTATCCCGGAGTTGTTGGCGTTGGTGCTCTTTGTGGTGCCATGGTTGCGGAACGCCATTGAGGAATCAGACTGGAGCATAATATATTTATTGACGTGGTGGTTTCATACTCGGATTTTTGTGGGCCGGGGTGTGAGACAGTCGCTTATAGATAACGTAAAGTATACTGTATTCTGGGTAGCAGTATTAGCTTCGAAGTTTTCATTCAGTTATTTTGTTCAGATCAAGCCTCTAGTTGCTCCGACAAAGGCTCTTTTGACTCTTAGGGACATTCCTTCTAAATGGCATGAGTTTTTCAGTAACACCAACAGGGTGGCAGTTGTCTTGCTATGGTTGCCTGTTGTGCTTGTCTACTTCATGGATTTGCAAATATGGTATTCAATTTTCTCTGCATTTTATGGTGCGATAATTGGTCTGTTCTCGCATTTGGGTGAAATTCGGAATGTGACTCAACTCAGACTTAGATTTCAGTTCTTTGCTAGTGCCATGAAGTTCAATCTGATGCCGGAGGAGAAGCTGCTAAGTCCGCAAGCTACACTTCTAAAGAAGCTTCGCGATGCCATGCATAGGTTGAAACTGCGATACGGACTTGGTCAGCCCTTCAAAAGGATTGAATCAAGCCAAGTGACCAGATTTGCCTTAATATGGAATGAGATTATGATAACTTTTAGGGAGGAAGATATCATCAGTGATCTAGAACTCAAGCTCTTGATACTGCCGCCAAATTGCTGGAATATTAGGGTTATTCGATGGCCATGTTCCCTTCTCTGTAATGAGCTACTGCTTGCTGTCAGTCAGGCTAAAGAGCTGGAAAATGAGTCTGACTCTTCACTTTGGTTGAAAATACGCAAGAATGAGTATCGTAGGTGTGCTGTCATTGAATCTTATGACAGTGTTAAATATTTGTTTCCCATGGTTCTTAAACCTGAAAAAGAAGAGTATTCCATTGTGACTAATATATTCAAAGTCATAGACAACTACATTCTGATGGGTAAGTTAACAGAAGCATTCAAGATGTCTCGGCTACCTCAGATACATGCTAAGGTGAGTGAATTTGTTCAGCTTTTGATACAACCAGAGAGAGACATGAATAAGGCTGTAAATTTATTGCAAGCTTTGTATGAACTGTTTGTTCGAGAATTCCCAAAGGTAAAGAAGACCATCACCCAGCTACATCAGGATGGTTTGGCACGACAAAGTTCCACAACTGATGAAGGACTGCTCTTTGAAAATGCTATTAAGTTTCCTGATGCTGGAGATGCAGTATTTTCTGAGCAGCTCAGACGATTGCATACGATTCTTACTTCAAGAGACTCAATGCACAATGTCCCATTGAATCTTGAGGCACGACGACGAATTGCTTTCTTTACCAATTCTTTGTTTATGAACATGCCCCGGGCTCCTTATGTTGAAAAAATGATGGCTTTCAGTGTTTTGACTCCATATTATGATGAGGAAGTATTGTATAGCAAAGAGTCTCTACGAAAGGAGAATGAGGATGGTATTACTACTTTGTTTTATCTGCAGAAGATTTATGAAGATGAATGGAAAAATTTTATGGAAAGGATGCGTAGAGAAGGTTTGAAAGATGAGGATGATATCTGGAGTACAGAAAAGGTCAGGGATCTCCGCCTTTGGGTATCTAATAGAGGTCAAACTTTGTCCCGTACAGTTAGGGGGATGATGTACTATTATAGGGCCCTTAAGATGCTCGCCTTCCTGGATTCAGCATCTGAAATGGACGTGAGGCAGGAACCAGAACATATTGTTTCACTTGGTTCAATAAATGAAAACAGCAGCTTAAATGGCCTATCCTCAAATGGGCCGTCATCATTACAGACAAATCTCAGGCTGGCAGATAGCAGTGTGTCCACGTTATTCAAGGGACATGAATATGGGAGTGCACTGATGAAGTTCTCGTATGTGGTTGCATGCCAGATGTATGGGCGCCAGAAGGCAGACAAGAATCCACGTGCTGATGAGATATTGTATTTGATGCAACAGAATGAGGCCCTTCGAGTGGCATATGTTGATGAGGTTTCTTTAGGGAGGGAGGGGACTGAATATTACTCTGTTCTTGTGAAGTATGATCAGCAGTTGCAGAGGGAGGTTGAGATTTATCGCATCCGGTTGCCTGGTCCTTTAAAACTTGGAGAAGGGAAACCAGAAAATCAGAATCATGCCATAATCTTTACACGAGGTGATGCAGTTCAGACCATTGATATGAATCAAGACAATTATTTTGAGGAAGCTCTCAAAATGCGGAATCTGCTGGAGGAGTTCAATGCGAACTATGGTGTTAGCAGACCAACCATTTTAGGGGTCCGGGAAAATATCTTCACAGGATCAGTTTCCTCACTTGCATGGTTCATGTCAGCTCAAGAGACAATCTTTGTGACACTAGGTCAGCGTGTTCTGGCAAACCCTTTGAAAGTACGAATGCACTATGGTCATCCAGATGTGTTTGATCGATTCTGGTTCTTGGGTCGGGGAGGAGTTAGCAAGGCCTCTAGAGTGATCAATATCAGTGAAGATATTTTTGCTGGTTTCAATTGTACCCTTAGGTGTGGCAATGTGACACATCACGAATATATACAGGTAGGCAAAGGAAGAGATGTAGGTTTGAATCAGATATCCATGTTTGAGGCCAAGATTGCTAGTGGGAACGGTGAGCAGGTCCTGAGCAGAGATGTGTACCGTCTTGGCCATAGATTAGACTTCTTCCGCATGCTTTCAGTGTTCTATACGACCATAGGATTTTATTTTAACTCGATGGTTATTGTACTGATGGTTTATGCCTTCCTTTGGGGTCGCCTTTATATGGCTCTCAGTGGAATTGAAGGTGCAGCCTCGGATAATGCTACCAACAATAAAGCCCTTGGTGCAGTCTTAAATCAGCAGTTTGCGATCCAGGTTGGTATTTTCACTGCACTTCCAATGATTGTTGAAAACTCTCTCGAGCATGGGTTCCTTCCAGCTGTTTGGGACTACTTGACGATGCAGTTGCAGCTTGCATCACTATTTTACACATTCTCTTTGGGAACTCGCACACATTTCTTTGGTCGGACTATACTTCATGGTGGTGCTAAGTACCGGGCAACAGGTCGAGGTTTCGTTGTGTCACACAAAAGCTTTTCTGAGAACTATAGACTATATGCTCGAAGCCATTTTGTGAAGGGTATTGAACTTGGGATTATTTTAATCGTGTATGCTGCTCATAGTCCCTTGGCTAAGAATACTTTTGTGTACATAGCTATGACAATCTCAAGTTGGTTTCTTGTCGTTTCATGGATAATGTCTCCTTTTGTCTTTAACCCCTCTGGGTTTGATTGGTTGAAAACTGTATATGATTATGAAGATTTTATGAATTGGATATGGTATCCTGGTGGGCCCTTCAAAAAGGCAGAATATAGCTGGGAAACATGGTGGTACGAGGAGCAAGACCATTTAAAAACAACAGGTATATGGGGAAAACTGTTGGAAATCATTTTAGACCTTCGATTCTTCTTCTTTCAGTATGGTATTGTTTATCAGCTAGGTATTGCTGGTGGAAATACTAGTATAGCAGTTTACTTGTTGTCTTGGATAGTCATGGTTGTGATTGTTGCCATTTATATCACCATTGCATATGCCCAGGATAAATATGCTACAAAGGAGCACATATATTATCGATCAGTCCAGCTTCTTGTGATTATAGTCACAGTTCTTGTAGTTTTTCTCCTACTGGAGTTCGCCCATTTAAAATTTGTTGATCTCCTATCAAGCTTGTTGGCATTTGTTCCAACTGGATGGGGAATGATTTTGATAGCCCAGGTGCTTAGGCCATTTCTGCAGACAACTAAAGTGTGGGAGACTGTTGTTTCCTTGGCTCGTCTATATGACTTGCTGTTTGGTATAATTGTTATGGCTCCAATGGCAATACTATCATGGTTACCTGGATTTCAATCAATGCAAACTAGAATTCTCTTTAATGAAGCTTTCAGCAGGGGTCTCCAGATATCTCGAATAGTTAGTGGCAAGAAGTCTGTTTAAGTTGGTGATTGGAGGTAACTTTTACATCATGTTCTTTTCTTTTATAATATTTTGTAGTCGATATTGAATACGAAGACTCCATGATTATTGTAGTGGCCGAATAAGTAATTAGTTACACTGAAGCTGAATGTTACCAAGTAAACTACAATTTACCATGGTGTATAGAGATTGGGAAGTTGATTCTTGAAATAGTATGCTTTTGAGTTAACCCATGCATTCGTAAATAATATGCATGTGCAGGTCTGACCTAAAACAAAACGGCTACTAAGCCGAGTTCCTGAGATATGTTTCTGTATTTTCCCAGGTAGTAGTATCAACATGATAGTCGACCAGTACAAGTTACCAGTTTTTAAGACAAGGTTGAGGACCAATTGCAAGTCAAAGCCCGTTGTATTGCCGTGGCAAATGAATGCCTACAGATAAACTCATGTATGTACATATAAAAAACAATACAATAGTTCCTTAACTCAATCTCAATACAATTTTAAAGCAGTAATCCATGTAACTCTTCAAATGTTGATGAATCAATATGTAGTGTTTTTTGTCAATTGCTATATAATGTTTTTTATAGCATGCTGCAAATATTTGTGAAAGAGGTTAGATAAATATGCATGCCATTCTCATTACCTAAAGATTTTTGTCTCTGCAGATTAATGTTAATGATAATTACTAATTAAGGTTGGATATGTCAGGATCTCTATCATTCTTTTTACCATACCTTAATAATCATATATTTGTACTTCATCGAGTAGTTTTTTCTTTTTTCTTTTTAATTCTAATTTAAATTTGGGTATTTATTTTCAGGTTATGCTATGAGAGTAGAGGTAGGTCTAGCTTTCTTTGAGTGACACTCCCATTGACACGATCTATCAAGGAAGTAGTCTGATTGTTGCCTAGTAATTTTCGTGCAACACAGGTTGTGAATCTCTGTAGGTAAGTATTGGAGGATTATCACACATGTTTTACCTGTCTGTCTCTATTGCTGTACATCCTGTTCATATGTAGTGCAACTTACTCTAACCGAACACGACATTGCCACTGAATCAACCATATTTTAGGCTTAACATTGTTAGTCAGCATGTAGCACCTTTCTATGAACACTGATTTTGAAGTTAAATTTTACAATTCAATCATATAATTGGGAAATAACCTAACTCTTAAGAAGAAAAAATAAAACACTTTTTCTTCAATTAATTGCGGTGACAGGAAAGATTTTCCCTTTAACAAAAAGCTTACTTTGACAAAATTCATTTCATATATAGCTCGTATTTAGCAATAGATAAGAAAAGGAAAAATATTTTTAAAGCACAATCAAATTTAACAGTTTCAATTTTGAATGGAGTTATTTAATTATAAACTTTCCTGATAATAAGATTGCTTAATTTAATAATAATTATTTTAAAAATAATGTTTAAGGTAATTTTTAATTGATGGATAATATGTTACTTATATCTAGTGAATGGATAATTTTCATTAGAATGATTTCATTATTTTAAAAGAAAAAAAGTTATCTATCTTTCCTTGTATAATATCTTTTTTTCTTAAAGCTTGTGCTTAATCATAGGGTGTATAAATATAAATATGTGGTTATAAATTTGACACGAATGAGGTTTAACATCTACAAAAGATAGGCGTGTAAATTTAGTATCTTAAAGTTTTAATTTGAATAAATTATAAAATTTATGTGTGTGATTTGTTTGTTGTTTATTAATATAGACCTCTCAGTATTTTACCTTTTTATTCTTAACATAACATATAAACGGTTATGTGTTAGAATAAATACATATGTATTTGAATTAAAATTACGTTTAATTGTTTTGTCAACCACATATTTTGACTGTTAATATACTATGTTATAAATATTCTTTCACAAATCATTGATGATTTTCTCAATATTAATTTAATTATTATTCAAGCAGTTACACACATGAATTCTATTTATCACAGGTTTTCCTAAGGAAAGGTTAATCTCACTTTAACTAAGTAGAACAGATATAGCAAAACAATAAGATAATTGAGAATGTTTTTTAATATAAGCATGGAGAATTTGCGTAAGTCCTCTTTCTTATACACATGTAGTCTTGAAAAACTAGTCATGAACATTGAAAATCCTGAATTTTCTTCCTTGGCTTCATTTAAAAAGATAAATTTTTCATGTAATATTCAATGATAATAAAATGTATTAATGCTTGACTTATACTCATGAAATTTTTAATTTTAATTCTTGCATTGAAATATATATATATATATATATATATATATATATATATATATATATATTGAAAACTTAAAGCTAAAAAATATTTTATAATGACTGTCCATATACCTAAATTGTTAAGTTTATAATAATTAATTTATTTTTTTTACAGAAAATTTTGTATCAGTATAAAAATGGTAAGTTTTTTAATCAACTAATAAAACTTTAAAAAGTCAATATAAAATAAAATTTGAAATAAACTTAAAGACAATATAATTTATTTTTTTAGTAATAGAGTATAGTTTAATAAACTTAAAGACAATAGAACTTATTTTTACATTATCGGCTCATAACAAAAGTTATAACAGTTAAGATATTTATATTTTTTTTAAATATTTTTTATCAAATAAATATTAATACATGTTTGACGGGATTATCGGATATTTGTATTTTGATTTTTTTGTCATAACTTTATTCAATAATAATTTATTGCTAGTGTTTATTTATATTATATTAAAATAATCAATTTAAAAAAGGATAGATTTGTACTAATAATTATGTAAGAAAAGAAAAAAAATGACATAGCGGTTGAATTATGGGATTTGAATCAGTTGATTTTCATGTGAAAATATATAGTTATTTTTAAATAAAAGCTAAAATAATTTAGTATAAAAATAATATTAAAATTTATAAAATATATATCTTTTTATTCATATTAAAATATCTACGTATCCTTGGAAGTTAAAGGGATTATCTTTAATCTATATTTATATTTTTTTATTTACTAAATTTAAAATCATTAAATATATCTTTTATATATTTATAATTTTATTTTCTTAATTTTCTTTCATATATATTTTTTATATTTATCTATTATTTATTAATAATATATTATTTATATATTTTTATTGATAATAATATTAAGATTTCCTTGTTTATATATATAACAAGTTGTGTTGAGTTCATCAGAAATTCATCTCTTTTTCTCACTTCTCTCACGTCCCCCGTCCCGTCCACAATCGCTTTTCTTTTTGAGGTCTACTCACTTTGATTCGCCACTCATTCTTGCAATGTACGTCAAAAGACCTAGTAATCTGTTGCTTTTATAAATAACATATTATTAATAAATAAATATAAAAATTAAATACTGATTTTAGAAATTAATATTATAAATAATACATTTTTAAAAAATAATTATTAATTTTAGAAATTAATATTATAAAATAATATAACTTTTTAAAAAATTACTTTAATAAATTTTTAAAATTTATTTATTTAACTAAATCGATCTATTATTCAGACATAAATTTAAACAAAGAAAAATAAATTGATTTAATATAATATTGTTATTTTTTTCTTATATTATTATCTCACTTCAAAAATATCATAATTTAATACATTATATAAAAGAAAATATAAATTTCAGAAATTATAAATATTATTATTATATTATAATTATTAGAAAAAATTAAATATTTATTAAAAAAAATTAATAAAATTTTTTAAATATTTAATCTAACTAATTATCATAATGCATTTTAATTATAACTAGTTTAAATTACTAAATAAACATATATTTAAATTATAAATATTTGATATATTTTTTTAATTAGATGAATAATTATTTATTATTAATAAAATAATTTTAAATTATTAACATATTTTTATTAAATTTTAATATAATAATTTAATTAGAAAAATAAATAAGATAAAAAAAAGATAACGAGAGAATGAAAAAAAAAAAATATATATATATATATATATATATATATATATATATAAAAAGAGAGGAGAATAATTTTATATAAATATAATTTTTTTAAAATATATTATTTTTAAAAATCAGACTAAATAATATATTATTAATAAATAATAAATAAATATAAAAAATAACAAAATAATTATAATAAAATTATTTATTTAATGATAATTAAATTTTGAAAACCAAAACCATAAATGTATATAAAAAAGTTTGGAAAATGAATCTTTTGAATTCCTAAACAAGTTACGAAACTTTTTTGAAAATAGGCTATTTTAAGTTCCCAATAAAATTTGTTAAGACTTCGTTTCTTATCTATTTTCTTCCGTTTTCGTTTCTAATTTTTGTTTTTTCTTATTTTACAATGTTTTTCCATAAATGAATAACAGTATATATGAATAGGAGTCCCGTGATTGGGATTGTGAAACCATTTTTCTTTGCTAAGAAGAAATCACACTCTTCGCTGATTTGAGTGCTCTAGACATTCATCTCCCATTGCTAACCAAAGCCTCTTTTAACATTTATTTCTATTCTTTTCAGTTCTTTTATTCATTTTCGGACACAGATTTCACTTTTTCTCGGTGCCATACTCAGGTGCTTCTCTCTACCAGACAACTTTTAATTTTATGCTTGTTGTATTAAATTTTGAAATAATTGATCAATTTTATGTTTATGCGTGTGTCTTTGCTTTTCTGTGACAGGTTTATTGTATTGGGATGGAAGTCTCTGCGCAGAATATTGTCAAATGCGATGAAGAGAAAGCATTGAAGTGCTTGCTTGATGCATTTGGCTCTGTTTTCTGTTGAAGAGATATCAGCGTATTGCAAGGCTAGCCGAAATGCTGACTTGGCTGGGGAAATTTTGTTTGAAATGCAGGGAAGCTCATAAGGACCATCTTCAACCCTCGATTCATCCAATGCAGATGTCACGACTCAAGACAGGGATGAGAATAAATCCGTCCAACGGGTTGCGATTCGACCTGTCCCGAGGTTAATGGGAAAAAAATCAAATTGATTAGGTTCAGATTTGAGTTTGTCACGTATC